GCAGTCGTCTCTGAGGACTTTACAAAGTTGCAGACAATAACAGACTGCGGCTCTTAAAATGCAAACATGCATTTGGCATTTTATCCTCTATGGCCTGGTTCTGAAGTGGAAAAGCTAGAAGGACGCTTTTCCACTTCAGAACCAGGCCATAGAGGAAAAAACCAAGACCCAAACTCAACAAACCTTTACCGGACTTTGGATATTGATTAATCATTCCTATTAATTGATTAATCATACCCAGAGCATCAAGTAACAGAGCCGGTATAGGGAGATGAACTGTAAAATAAACATTAAAAATGTAGGTAGAACTAAAGGTAGAACTATTCTCATTTGAAAAATAAAAGATAATTTCATAAAAACAATTGCATAGAAATAAACTACATATAGTAACAGAAAAAGTTCTAACACCAAAAAGGTACAGGAGCTGCGTAAATACACTTCCAAAACTAAAAGCCGTCAAATTGACTGCTCTGACAGTTCTAGTGTCAATCAACTGGGATTTAAATACCGTGATGACATACTGCGTAGCTCTTTTCCTTGATATTAGCTCTAGCTGTACCATATCTGTGCGTCGTTATGATCAAACATGTGGCACACTGACAGGCAGGCCACGCCAGATCTGTGTGATCAAATAGTTTAATGAAACAAGTGATACGGCGCAGCGTCTGAACATACCGTGAAAAATGAAGGGCACAATCTGAGCCCTTAGCCGTGCATTACAAGTCCGCTCAAATCGTGAAGCAATGAAGGGCGCTGGTCTTTTGCACCATTTCGAAACAAATGCATGCGACTCCAAAATTATTTTTGTTGTATTTGTCGCTTGCACTCCAGTCTATCGAAACTGAGAAAAACTACAGAAAAATCGGATTCCTGTCAGAGCTGCAGGAACATAATTTGAGTTGGGGAAAGTGGCAATTGTGTGCACTTATCCTTTGCCTGGAACATCACTTAAGTTCCAAACGGACGCATTAGACGTTGTAAATTATATAGCCACTGTCGCTTGCACGAGTACGAGTCGAACTTTTGCACATTTTCTCACGTTGACAACCACGAACGTAAAGGGTTTATTTTCAATTTGTATGTATTTTTTGGTTGAAAGTAACAGACAACAGTGATGTGAAAGCACAAGGATTTTTTCGGAATTATTTTTGTCACCATTATAAGAAACAGGAAGTCACAAACTGGGATTTTGCTTGTTATACAGGTTATGAAAAAGTATAAAATGAAAAATAGATATGAAGACAAAATTGTAATAACTCTCTATTTTATGAATACACATAACATTTGATACTTCATGGAACTCCTTTTTGCCTAAGTTATAGAGTTCTTTTATTTTGTGCTGTGTGCTCCTCATTCCTACTGTTCTGTACCTGGTGATGCAACACTTAAATTTCCACGCTGTGGGAGAGATAAAAGATCTCTTAATCTTCATCTTAAAAGGAAAAGACTTAAGAGGATATGACTCTACAAGCTTAGCTCATCTGGAGACTGAAAGTTTGTATAATTCACCAGGTATATTGATGTTGGTTTAAAGATTGTTTTGTATTTTTAATATTCTTTGGTCACAGACAACAACAAAATGAAAGGAAAATTTGAATGAAGGGTTTAGGCTGAAGTTTAAAAGTCGTATGTTGCTGAACCCTGGTGACAAATCAGTCAATTCGTCAACAGGTAATTCACTACATCTGCTTGCACTCATTAATGTAGGCTTAACTTTTGTCTTAAAACATCAATAAGTCAAATGTCCAGGGTTTAGGAAGAAAAGACAAGAAAATCCATTGTGCCTTGTAGGTTGTCATGGACACCACCAGCACATTATACAATCGTCCTGTACAGTTCCTGCTGGCCCGGACTGGCCATCGGGAGCATCGGGAGATCTCCCGGTGGCCTGCGTGTCAAAGTGGCCTTTTTTTTTTTCTTTTAATTTAATTTCATCCTCACGGTCTTTGCAAACTCCTACCCTGCCTGGTGGCCTGGTCCAATGAGCAAGGCCCAGGCCAAAGGCAGTGTTGTGCGTGAACGAGTTCAAAAGAACGCGTTCATTGAACACGCTCATTTTTTCGTGAACGTTGAACTGAACGCAACACATTTTTTAATAAAGAACTTGAACGTGAATTAGTTCATATTATGTGTCATGAACGGCAGACAATTTGTTTTCCATTTAAAACTGAGTGAAATCTGTTTTCTCTTTTGAAACGCAACGAGAGAAAGTTCCTCCCTCCTGTATTCTCCGCACTGTTTCCGCCGAAAACTAAAAATTCCTACGGTTTCCACCGTCTGTGAACGCACCCCGACTCAGTGTACTTGCGGTGCGGCGCTATACATAGTTCCCACATGACGTCACTACATACGGGGATTTGCCGACCCGGCGCCATTTGTGTTGGCATTCTGTGGGCAAAACAATAGAAAAAGAAGCTGAAACGTGTTAATGTCGTGATAAAGTTGAAAATGGTCGTCTCCTGCTGGGTCAATGGATGTTCAAATCGTGCCGGAGGTTCTGTTAAACTTGGATTTTACAGTATACCCATCATTAGACTTCATGAATGTGAGAAGACTAAGCTTTTGTCAGAACAACCACGGAGGTTATGGCTTGCGAAGATAAACAGGCAAGAAACTCCCTCAAAACACGCAAGAATATGCTCGGAGCATTTTGTGTCAGGTGCGTATCGTATCTTATAATGTGTTGACAGACGTAATTTACTCAGTACTAACTTGTGTATGCTGATATCTGGTAACTTGAGAGTTTCATTATTTAGATTACTTTATTATGAGGAGGATCGGTGTCGCGTCCGAGGCTCTCGAGGGCAACGTAAATGTATTAAATAGATAATAATAGTTCTATGGTGGGCTAAAACAATGTTCACAAACAGCATTGCTTCTGTAAAAAGATCTGTGTCATAAAATAAACTGCTCTTTACGGCTGGAAAAATCAGTTGCCCACCATTCACCAAAACATACGGTCAAAAACGCGGAAATAAACAATAACAGCAATCCAGAGTGTCCGTGTGGCATTAGCATTAATTAAATTAATTGTTAATATAATTAAAATAATTAAATGGAGCTCCAACTAGTATTAAATCGAAAGTTTTTGAGAAATGTTTGCATTGCTTGTTAATTTTTGCTGCATAATTTGATCAAATATGTAAAACATGTCCGTAGCACGTTAAACTGTGGTGCCATTGTATTAATATACAATTATTTGCTCAAAAGTTGCCCTTTTTTTCCAATTTGCGTTTGAATATCTACATTTATTCTCATTCTTCTGTTTAATGGAATGCACAAACACAGCAGCGTGCCATCAAAGATGGCGTCTCCGATCCGGTCATGTGACATTCATTGGTCTGTGGGAACTATGTATATGCTAGTGCTATTCATTGGTTGTTGGACTCACATGTGCCGTGATGATAACACAGGGGTAAGTCAGTGACACAGGGCCGTTTACATTTGACATAAAGTAGACACACGTTCTGCAGCGCATTACAGTTTGTACTTATGAGCAGAGATGGGACAACTCAGTTCCCATTGAAACCCATGTAAATCTTGTCTGCATTGGAGTCAAAACATCCTGTGCAGTGTACAGGATATAATATATATATAATATATATATATATATATATATATATATATATATATATATATATATATATATACCACGTATTGTGATTTCTAGCTCGTAGTGAAAAAAAATATTTATTTGAATATCTCGCAAAAAGTAAAATGAACTGAAATTTGAACTAGTTCAATTAAAATTGAGAACTTCGAACGTGAACTGTTCACTTTGAGCATGTATGAACTGAACTTGAACTAGTTCAGAAAAGCTGTGAACTGGCACAACACTGGCCAAAGCTTTACTGTCATTGGGCCAGAGCAAAATTAAACAAATGTGACGTCACACGTCGGCTACACAGCCAGGCCAGCCTAGCAGTGCACCCAGTGTAGCTTCCCCGGTTGAAATGAGTGGTCTCTCCAACTGATGGTTCATACACGTTTTTATTTTTCCTTTTATATGAGCTGTAACGATGTGATTTTACCTTACTACTTTTTTAACAATAATTGATTAGCTTGTTATAGTTATACACTAATGAACACTTAGTTAATTGTGTGTGTGTGTGTGTGTGTGTCTTTATTCTCACTAAACTCCATAAACGTTACGTTGCTAAGCAACGTACAACAATCCTTATTAACGTCCGAGATTATATAAACAGTCAATATTAAAAAAAATAAAGAAAACAAAAGTTTTGACATGAGTCAATCTTAAAACTATTAAAATAACATCAAAATACAATGACAAAAACCCAAATTTAGAACCTTGTTTGGCCTGAATGGATGAAAAGCTCCCGGCCTGAAATGTTGTCCCACTCCGGCCCTGAGTTCCTGCCATAGACACAATGCTCACCCACACAGCCTCCAAATGACAAGTTTCAAGATTCAATAAATGTGTTATTTGCAGTTAAAACACACATTTAAATGCCTTTGGAAGGCCACAGAAGTATCAGACAATGTTTACAACACACATGTATGCATAAATGTGAGACTGTCATATCAACACTGTGCACTGTTCCGCCCACCTTTCATTTCAATTCAATTCAATTGAGTTTATTTTTGTGTCGCCCGAAATCACAACAGTAGTTAACTGAGAGGACTTTGCAAAACCAGTGATTCGCCAACACAGATTAGGAAATCAAACAGTTAAAACACTGTTTTAGGGGTCAGGGGTCTCATCATTACGCCATCAAAGAGACAATGGGACAGCAGGTAAATAGCCTTGTGTTTCGATATGTACTGACAATCTGTGTTTGTTAGACTCCTGAGTCTTACCTACCTGACCATATGCTTGATTAAAAAGGACTGTTTCCAGCCTGGCCTTGAATGTAGAGACTGTGTCCGCTTCCTTGACGTGGATGGGGGGCTGATTCCACAGAAAAGGAGCTTCATAGCTCAACGTTCTGCCTCCGACTGAGGCATTTGCATGTTTTAAAATGGTGCATGTTTGTTTCCAGGCCAAAGATGTCGACACAGGGAATTACAGTGCCAATGCGTACCGACTGATCATTCCGCCCACGCCTGAGGGCCAGGAGAGCTTTGTTATCGAGACCTACACTGGAATCATCAAGTCGGCCATGATGTTTCGCAACATGAGGCGCTCCTATTTCAAGTTTGAAGTCATTGCCACGGACAACTACGGGAAAGGCCTCAGCAACAGTGCAGAAGTGGTGGTAGGTACAAACAATGGGATTTACCACATTGAAATATTTAACTACCCTTTTTGTATTATTATTATTAGCCCAAAAAAGGTACACACAACATTATATCGAGTCCCTAAAGCGATGCATTTAGTCTACACCCCCTGGCAGACTTTAAATAGTTTTTGTGAGCTGTATTTTAGAGATTGTGGTTTACAAGGTAACATCACTTATTGTAGGTGTTTGTGTGAAGCAGCACAATCTTTAACAACCAAGGGAAGAACATTCAAATTCCTGATTGGATTTGCATGTTCTCCCCATGTCTGCATAGATTTCCTCCGGATGTTTCCCGCTACAACAACCACTCCTCCTGACAGAGGCCCAAGTGGCATTGGAAGTATGGGTCGACTGCAGATGATACATTTCCCAACGGAACAATACAGTATTTTTATCCATATTGAATGCAAAAGCTCTTTTGACCCTGATTAGAAGTCTCCATCCCTCAAAACTCCATAGCGTGTATTTCCCTTTTGAAATTTAGAACATCTTGGAGTCTTTTGTGGTATAGTTGTGGATGAGGTTTCTATCATCTGATAGGATAGCTGGCCATGCTTTTAGAAAAATTACCAGTTCCTGTACAAGGTCAAACTCCAGATAACAGCTCAATGAGGTCATAATTTTAAAAAGGGAAACAATCAAATAATGAGACAATATGGCTTCATACAATCACCAACAATGAGTGAGTGTTTGTGTTGCAAAAAGTGATTAAAAATAAGTCAAAATTTGCTCAAATTTCAATATGTATCTTAATTTGAGCACATTTTGACTGCCATAAAACAAGCTTTTCGAATGGGGCAAACTAAATTGTTTTAAGATACAAGAAATGTCGCCCTTGGAACGAAAAAAAAAATGCAACAGTTCTTTAAATAAGACTGAATGGCTTTGTCCCATTGATTATGTTTAAGAGAGGCAGAATGTACTCAAATTAAGACAAAAAAACTTGATTCAAGCCATTATGACCTCATATTTGATAATAGTTTGCTGCCTATTCATTAAGGCTTTCTGAAAAATGGCCAAAACTATGACTTTTCTGCCATGGATGATGAACTTTTCATTCATTAATTTTCAACCCCTTTATTAGTTAATTTCAGGATTGGGGGGGGGGGGGGGTGGCAATGAGAGCTGCCACCCAATGCTCATAGCACCAGACCCTCACTGATCCTCTGCAGGTGTTGAGTCCACAGGAAGATGACTTTTAATATTTTAAAAATCGAACATTATTTGGGGTGATTCAATACAAATCTCATCTTGTTTGAAACATTGAATAGAGTTGTAGCCGTTATGTTCATAGCAGAAATGGTGAAAGGAGAGCACATGAACAGTCTTCTCTGTCAAAGACAATCTGCCTGTAAAGAAGAGAGCCCCACAGACCTGCAGATGAGTACAATTACTTAATAGGGCCTACGCATTTGAAGACATGGACCAGTAATCTAATGTCCGCTTTGTGAAATTGTCTCTTTGGAATATTTTCATAAATGGCTCACCAAAAGGACACTAAAATAATATTAACGATTTTCCTGTCTATAATTTAAACCAATGTACCTTAACCACAAGCAGATCTTGTGCACAGCTTTTGAATAATAAACTCTCACCCATCACTAACGTTTTTTTGTTGTTAATGGTGAGAGATATGTTTTGGATAAACATAGATTTTAAAGCTTGGGTAACTAAATTTTACCCCCCTTCAAACGCACATTTTGTCTGCTCAAGCTGTATTTCTCTTATTTGAATTGTTATTTTTGTACTTGAAAGAAATCGCCTTAACTATTTGATGCGACAGGCTGAGAGATGAATGGAATTTTTCTGTCTGAAGTTGATTCCAAAGCTATGATAGAGGTCAAACAATTGGAGAACTAAAGTGTTTTGAGAGTGAGTAGCTTGTTCAATGGATTACATTTTAAAGCCCTAAGACCAGGAGTGTCAAACTGGTTCCAGAAAGGGCTGTGTGGCTGCAGGATTTCATTCTAACCAAGCAGGAGCACACCAGACTCCACCCATTTCCCAGGTTAAGACTGGACTCACACGAGAGAGTGGTGTGGTCCTGCTTGGTTGGAATGAAAACCTGCAGCCACATCAGCCCTCGGAGGACACATTTGAGCAAACTCCAGTCAGACCAGTCCATTCTCACCCCCACTACTTCCTGATTGGACACAATACAATTTAATCCTTGGTAAACAGACGATGGCCCTTTGTCATTGGTCCAACTAACCTCTTTCAGCAAATCTTGTTGGTGGTTATACCAAGGAGAGGCAATGAGTGTATATTGTTGTCCGTGATACTACATGGTTACTGACTTTAAGATGTAACAATGAAATAACATAAATAAAACAGAGGACCACACAATTCACTCAGTGTTATCAAGTTTAATATAGTCCATGTTAATGGTATACATAATCACAGTCATCACCTTCAAGTCCTGGATTCAATTGTATATCCTCCTCAAAAATTTGAACCCCAACTTCAAACCTCTCTAAACACTTCCCACTATGTTCTTTGCCTCTCCATCTCGCCTCGCCCGGAATACACCATCAGGTCTTCCATCTAACTACTGTACATGTTGCAGCTTGATATTAGATTTGCGTCTCATTGAATCCGCCCGGTAACAAGGCCTTAACGAGTCAGAGAGAGGGCCTGGGACATCGCCTGTAATGTGTGACGGAGCAGCAAGTGTTTAAGCTTGGCCCTCGTTAATTTTCAAGGGGAAAACCTAATTTCACAGTATCTGCATGGGGGATTTGGCTCCGCCGGCTCTCTGCCTGTTGCCTCTCTGCACTTAACTGCTGTATATAAATGGGATTGGAGGGCTCCCTGGCAAAAAAAAGAAAAACAAGTGGCCAATTAGAGAGATGTTTTGGAGCGCTCTGTCAGAAATTGTCACAAGCAGAAGGATAGACATCTCAATGCTGCGACGGAGCTGGTCTCAATTTGCATGTTGTTTTTGCGTTTGTCTTTTCTGCAGGTTTCGGTGGTGAACGCGTTGGACATGCAAGTGGTGGTGTCTACGGTTCCTCCGACAATGGTGGAGGAGAATAAGGAAGAACTCATAAAGTATGTAACCCTTTATAATGTCATGCATTAGCCATCTTTAGACTATACAAACTTTTTCACACGGGTTGGTATTCTGGAGCTACTTCTGTATTAGAATAGATAATTACAAAAAACGATAAGGGCTATTAGAAATGGAAAGGATTTAATTGTGCCCCTTTACTACACTGCAAAAATAAAATAAAATGTTTTTTTCTTGATTTTTTTATTTACATTCTGACTGCTGTTTGCCATTTAGTCTTATTTCAAGAACTGTTTTTTACTTTTTAAATAAGGTCATTTTGCTCATTGTCCCTTTGGCAAATCTAGTTTGAAGGCAGTCAGAATGAGCCAAATTTAATATACATTTAGCAAAATTTGAGCAATGATTTACTTATTTTACATCACTTTTTGCTGTTTTTTTAGAAAGGCCAGATGTAATTGCCATAGAAATAAAGTTTCACCCCATTTTGAGCTAGTTCTTTCAAATGTACTGGCAATAACAAAATATGTTGAAGATTATAACTTTATGACAAATGAGGTTTCTTGATATAAAGTAACCATTCCAAAATTGAGAAAGCATTGCATTCAAAATAAGCAATCTGGTCTAAGGAAAAAGATAAAACATGAATGGGCAAAGGCTACAATTGCTGAAACTTAATATAAAATAAAAATTAATGATACACTTTTAGGTGTGCAGCACTTCCAAGCTCAAGGCAAATTGTCTTTGTCACTGAGAGAAATCAAATTAGGTTCAGTGCATAGTTTGGTAGCAGGCTGCATAGTTTGTTGATTGCCAAAAAAGGAGTCTGCAGTTAGAAGTTATTTTTCAGCTCAAAATATGTGCACCTGAAAAACTTGGTTTGGTGTGTGATAATCTTTTGTCTTTTTAGATATTGTGACAATGTACTGTATAAACCATGCTACAGTATTTTGGGAAAGTACTCAGTTTACTCGTTTTTCTATGTTCCCACCCTCCCCTTTGCTCATAAAGTGAGGGCAGAGGTCAATGGGGATTATAAAGTGTTCATGAGTCCAAGAGCAGAGGGGAAGAAACTGTTCTTATGGCGGGAGGTTCTGGTCCTGATGGGAGTGGTTGGAATAGTCCATGTGCAGGGCGAGAGGGGTCAGCAGTGATACGACCAGCCCGGCCTCGAGCTTGGCCGACGTACCGGTTCTGCAGCGATGGGAGTTTGCGGCCGATCACCTTCTCTGCAGAGCTCACGATGCGCTGTAGTCTCTGTTTGTCCCTGACTGTGGCTCCAGCGAACCACACGGTGACGGAGGAGGTGAGGATGGACTCGATGATGGCCGTGTAGAACTGCACCAACATCTGTGCAGGCAGCTTGGCTTTCCTGAGCTGCCGCAGGAAGTACATCCTCTGCTGGGCCTTCTTGATGAGGGAGCTGATGGTCGGCTCCCACTTGAGGTCCTGGGTGATGGTGGTGCCCAGGAAACGGAAGGACTCCACAGAGGTGATGGGGGAGTCCATCGCAGAGGGTGGGGGCGGGGGGAGAGTGCTCTTCCTGAAGTCCACAATCATCTCCACTGTCTTCTGGGCGTTCAGCTCCAGGTTGTTACCACTGCACCAGGACACCAGCCGGTCCACCCCCCTCCTGTAGGCCGACTCAGAGATATGGTGATGAGCTCAGTTACACGTGAGAATCTTGGAGTAGAGCCACTGCTTCTCCACTTTGAGAAGAGCCTGTTGAGGTGGCTCGGGCATCTGCTTTGGATGCCTTCGAGGCATGTCCTACCAGCGGGAGACCAGCGGAAGTCCCAGGAGGACACAATGTAGGGACTATGTCTGTTAGCTGGCCTGGGAACACCTTGGAATTCTTTGTGTGGACAGAAAAGTATCGATATCTTTTGATAACTGCCCTCGCAACCCAACAAGCAGAAGAAAAATGGTCGATGAGCAGTATATAACAAGGTTACATGAAAAGTGCACATTTCTTTTTTCCATCCTCCACGGTATAAGATTTCAGAAAACATTCATTATGAACTAACCTGCTATGTTTATAACATCACAGAGGGCGACGAGTAAAGGGATAGTGGGCTGAAAAATAACTACAGAATCCATTTTAAAAATACCATGCGACTTCATACAACTGTAACCGCTTGAACATGAAACACAATTGTGCTGCGTTCTACGTTCTGACAAACAAAACTTTGCAGAAACTGGTAAAAAGTTGATTGCGCATAGCAGGCTCTTTCAAGTGGTCGTCTGAGCCATTATACCTGAGTGCACAGACGTTTTATCCAGCCTGGCATTGGGAGTCAGCACGGCTTTCCTTTTATTGGCTGTAATTTGAGGTGTGGATTTTGTGGTGCCTGAAAGGGGATTAGAAGAAGGCTCTGTTTTTTTGCCAAAAGCCCAGTTTTGGAGACGAGAAGGGGGCACAGTGGGACCATCACAGCCAGAGAAGAGTGCTTAAGACTGGGGCCTCTCATATAACTGGATCTGCAGGAGTGGGAAGTAAGCATCCCTGGCTTTAAAGCTAACATTTGGAGACAAGTTAATAATGAGCTACGTTAATTAAGGAAAATCAAGTCTTGCATTTATAACTTTTAGTTGAAGTAAAGTTAAGAATTGAAATAAAGTTTGTTTCATCACAAAATCCAAAAACAACGGCAGAAAAACATGTAAAAAATATGCCTTCAACTAAACATGAACTGTAAAAAGTGAAAATACTCCCCACATATGTTGAACGCGATCATTAAATTTGTTTCCTGGTTCATTATCCCCCTGCGCAGCAAGATGAGCAGTTCAACCACTGAGCTGCTGTGGTTTGGTCAGAAACCAAACATGGATGAACAAACATAGACTATTTTGTTTTGGAAAAAGTGTGCTTTTTTGGATTAAAACGAGCTCATGCCACTGGCAGTAACATGCAGCAACTTTTATCGAACAAAGAATGGATTTTTTCTTGTTCCCAGTCATTTTTCCCAAATCTTTGTCTGAACCTTTGATCATTTCCTTTCTCAATTTACAAACAGCCTATACCAGATTATTTAACTTTAGAATCTGGATCAAGGCTAGATATTATATCAAGATGGTTTTTATTTTTTTCCTCATCAGCACATTTAGTATACTGCCCATAAACTGTAGAAGGACTGGACAAACTAAGCACTGACCTCACCCATAGTGTTCACCATTTTGCGGAAGAAGCCGATGAGAGCTCATCTTTGTGTTGCCCTCCGTATGAAAGGCGCTCTACAAATAAAGATTGGATTTATTGTCAACTCAAATTGGCTCCATGGGCAGGAATCTCTGCCAAATTTGTGGGTAGTAACGAACAAACAACCAGGGAGAAAATCAAACGTGGCACTGGTCCGTCCCTGTTTGTGCGAGCTGAAGCCAGATTCAGGAACAGAAGGCACTTGATTGGTCAATTATTAGATATGGTGAGTGTTACACAAATGGTTACTTTGTGTAAGTTTACTTTTCAGTGTGAGTGACTGCACTGCAAAAAGTTATGATAATTAAGTTTAAAAATGCTCACATTTGACAAAATTTATCTTACTTTGACCACAATTTGATTGCCTTAAAACAAGATTTGCCAATGAACAAGCAAAATTATGGAATGAGAAAATAAAGTACAGTTCTTGAAATAAGTCTAAATGGCTTGTTCCATTGGCAAGTCTTGTTTTAAGAGAGAAAGTACTCAAATGAGGATAAAAAAAAACACTTGATTCAAGCGATTATTACCTCATATCTAATCTTTTTTTTTTTGCAGTGTGGGAGCCAAAGCGAGTATTAGGCTTCTTAGCGTTAGCAAGTTGACATTGTCCATAGCATTATAACGTCTATGGTATTTCCCAAGAATACTGAAGTGTCAGACATTAAAGTATAATAGTATCTACTCTCTAAATCTAAATCTAAAATTCCTTTTGTGTATGAGGAATAAAGGTATTCTCATTTTATCAAACACAATTCTGTACAACAGAGTAAACCTGTCTTTTCTGATTTCTCTTTGACAGAATTTTGGAGCGTCATATCCAGGACCAAATCCCGGGTGCCAAAGTGATAGTGGAGGCCATCGGTCCACGTCGCCACGGTGATGGCTACGAGCTGGAAGACTACAGTAAATCAGACCTGATGGTGTATGCCATTGACCCGCTGACCAACAGGGCCATTCAGAGACAGGAGCTCTTCAAGTGAGTGCTGCAGGACCATTAACACTCACTCTCTGACTTCTGAGGCTTTCCATTACTCTCTTGTTCTACAAGAGCATCTCGCACTTAAAGATCCCATTTTACATTTCACCATCTTTTTCTCTGTCTTGTTCTTTGCGTGCTTGTGAAGTGAGTAAGCAATTACGTTTTGCAGACCATATATGTTTTTCAGACCAAATTAGTTTAAGAAAGAAGAAAAAACGAACCTTTACGTTCCACAGTGGGAACATTTAAATGTGGTTTTAAACATATTTGCCCTGTGTTTTTATTTTGGTTTAAAGGTAAAGGTGCACTTTATTAATCCCCGTAGGGCAATTCAATCCTCTGCATTTGACCCATCCTGATGCCACAAAGGCTTACGTCAGGAGCAGTGGTCGCCGTAGTACAGCGCCCGGGAACCTGTCTCCAGATGTTGATGCTCGGTTTGGTCAGGACTACCGGAGCTGGAGGATTTAACCTAGTGAGCATGTTTTTAGTGGTAGGGGAAACCGGAGTACCCGGAGGAAACCTATGCAGGCAAAGGGAGAACATGCAAACTCCACTCAGAAAGACCCTGTTCCGACCAAGATTCGAACCCAGGACCGTCTTGCTAAGAGGCGAGAGTGCTATCCACTCAGCCACCGTGCCGCCCGTGTGAGGCAGGGTGTCCATATGTTTTAGTAAGAGGGCGGCATAAACGGACCAGACTTGTCCAGAGGGTGACAAGAGGTTGACTCAGATTGCACAACTGTGTTGACTAGATTTGGGTTCTGTTTTTAGCTTGAAAATGAGGTAGGACATGTCTACATCGGTTCACATTGGACAGAGCTGAAGTTGGCTGAATGACAAATTACTTAGTCTTTTATTTTTTCTATTAACATGTATGGACATTGGTCTTAGATCAATGGCTCTATGTGTTTGTTAATATTGCATTTCCTGTGTTCAACAACTTTGCAAAGTCCTCTGAGACGGCTACTTTTGTGATATAGGGATTTATAAAGATAAAATTAATTGAGTTGAATGATCCCAAATAAATGTCAATACAGTCAAACAAGCTAGCGACCGGAATCAACAGGTTCTGAGCCTTACAGCTTATGAATGTCTATATTGGTGGAGCTGAAGTTGGCTGGAGGACACTGTGTTTATGGCCTCTATGACTACTTTGGGTTAGCAAAGCAGGGGGCTTTACTTACCTGAATTGTTTTGCTTTTGCTTCACTGCAAGAAGGTCTGTGTTCCTGAGTTTGCATGTTCTCTCCTTGTCCACATAGGACTCTTTTTTTAAAATCAGAATCAGAATCATTTTTATTGCCACGTAAGTAACAAACAAAAGTTACCACTTGGAAATTGTTTTGGCAAAGAGCGTGCCACTTCACCATTTGCGATCTAACCTAACCTAATGATTAGCAGGCATTTCATGATTGGTTCCTCATGCCAGAAAAAAGTCCATCGTTATCAGGGAACAGTTGTCGTTTATACAAAATAAAATGTTGTTTATGTCAAGCAAAAGTTACATTTGCATTTGCTTACACGGCGCACAACTATATTTGTTATTACGCATTCCTGGATGGTAAAACGAATAAATCTCTCATCCATCTTCGTCGCTCACGGACCGTTCGAAATCCACCCTGTTGTTCGGACCTTTTTCTGTCTCACCGAAGTATCAGACTCAAACTTCACAACCATTTTTCATCTCTTCAGAGGACACCGGCGGTCTGAGATAGCACCTGAGGACAGACGCAGAACCTTTTCTCTTCTTTTCTCTCTCTCTCTCTCCGATCTGTCATCCCGCTCGCATTAATCTTTAAACCCCACATCCTAGCAGTGTAGTTCCAGTCACTGAGAAAAAGAATAAAACGCTATTTTGTTGCAACTCTCTTTCTCTCCTTCATGCATTTACTCACATATTCCACCACTAACCTCATCTGTCACCTTAGCAGAACGCTGATCTTTTTATCCACTTAGCCGCTGCTGTTTTGTCTGCGGAGGAAAAGCCTTCATGAATGCGATTATGATCATTTCAGTTCATTTCAGTCACCCACTCCCAAATGTCATTTCGGGAAATTTGTGTGGGTGTCCTTGGCCGTGACCGTAGTGTTGGGACAACTGCAACCTTTCTTATTGGGAGATGGGGAGAAGGAGCGTGGGGAGTGACTTGAATTTGAAAAAAAGGAAAGAAAAACATACTTGGCGTTGTGTGTTGGTTGGGGAGTACAGTAGAGGGTCACATTGGGGGGAGGAACGACGCAAGAAAATGTCAATGACACTTTCTCTGTCAATTAGAGTGAGTGAGATTATGCAAAATGTACTTGGAAAAGCTTTTAATCTAATAGTGGGGCTAGCTTGTCATTAGCTTATTGTTTGAGTCAATCATTTGAGTAGTTATGCTTTCTGATTCTTGTTCCTGTTGTGGCTGAACTGACAATTTTGTAAAGTCGTCCTAGCCGTCTCCATTAGGGCTATACAAAATAAAAAGTAACAATGAAAATAAAACATTTCAAAAGATAGAACAAATATAAGAATTTGTTGCTGAGACAATCCCAGTTTCACCTCTCACCTTTCCTAGCTCATTTCTTTGTCAGAGCTGGCTTAATAAATCAGACTCTATTTATTTTTGCATTGATGGATTTATTTGACAGGGACGATCAGACACGATAAGTATGCTATACATAATTTAGAGCCAATGCTAATTTGCAATGTCCATTCCTAGACAAAAGAGGGCAACATTGCAATAAAATATCCATTATGCATGCATTTTTCATCATTAAAGATGTCAATAAGCATTTGACGCAAGAGTTATCAGGGCTGACGTTTTGAACTGAGCGTTAGGAATCTGATTTATAGGAAGTTACTGTTTCGTGTTGAAGGAGTGAGAGGGTTTCGTGCCAAATAAGCGTCCTTTTTGTTTAACCACTTTTCAAACTATGTCTATCTATGTATAATTATGATCACTTTTACATCCAGTTTATTATTTTTTTATGTTTGTACAGTTGAAGCTCAGTAAATTAGACATTCTATTGCTGTAATTCAGTTTAAAACATAAAACCAATATATGATATGTTCTCATTACACGCTAAGTGACAGTTTTGATGCGTATGGTTTACAGTACATTTTATTCTATGTTCAGAGAGTTGCTGTAATTTGTCAGAATTCCCCCGCCCCAGAAGCAGCAGAGAGGCTGCAAACACAGCAGCCCTTCGTTCTGCAGGCCCTTTTAGTTCAACAAGAGACAAAAACCAATGTTAAAACAGTAATAGAAATGACAGATACCAAACCTGATTTCAAAAGGTTATATTGAAGACTTTGCAAGCAATATTGACAAGATAACGGTCCGCGAACAGGTCTCGCTTCGCGTTCAGCAGGATACTTGTTTGTTTAGACTCATTCTAGAAGACAATATATTTAAGAGATGGGTGTTTTTTGGCCACTTGCCAGTTAACTGTTTTGGTCAGACACGCAGCGTTGTTCATGTGCTTCCTGTGATTGGCTAAACAACCTAAGCAGGTTGAGACAGTAGCACTTGTCTTGGTTCAACTCAAATGTGTTCCTCATTTATCTTCAAGCAATAGGAAGCGAAGTCGACAGAATAACTATTTCAATGTTTTTGCTCGGATCTCAAGTTCGATGAATGCCACTAGAAAGTTTTTTATTGTTTTTTTTTCATGAATATTGAGAATGTCCAAATGTTTTCCTAGATCATTATTAAACACTAGAATTACTAGAACAATTAACACTATTTACGGTAATTGAACGGCAATGATTTAACTGTGACTTTTTCTGTTTTTGGTGTACTGAACACAAACTATTGTTAGTTGTCTATCCATCTATCCATCTATCTATTGTCTATCGTCTATTCTGTTTATCTATAAGCAGTGTTTATTCGCAGCACTCTGGACCTTGAGTCTGCAAATAAAGTTTTCTATCTGTCTTACTGTGTCTATTTATCCTATGAGTACTTGTATGAAACAGTTTAAAACATCTTCATTATCAGGTAGTGTTTTCATCCTATGGTAACAGTGAAATTGGATTACTGATTACAGTTTTTCTGGTCGCTTTGGTGAATTTTTAACATTCGTTCTTCACATTTTCACAACTGTTGGTGCATTTCTCAGAACATTACGTGCGACTGCAGAATACCTCGTGGATAACCTGCAAAAGTAGCGTACTTTCTCAAAAATGAAAACGTTATGTCCTCAAAGCAGTTCAACGTTCAATGAACTGTCGTGTGCAAAATAATATGTCCTAATCAACCTTGAGTTTGAACATCACAGTCAAAATGACTTAGTCATGTTGTCATTGTGGAAAGTTTACTCTCTCTGGGTTTCTCAGGTTAAACGTCAGATCTCGGTGACACTTGAGCCACGAACTACTGTTGCAGCACACTATTCACGACCTATACCAGCCTTCTTACAGTATAAAAACTACAGTAAAGTTAACATAAGACTGTATTTAGAGAGTTAATGACATTCTGTAACATATATGTATATGTGTATGTATGTATGTATGTGTGTATTATGGATGTATGTACAGTATGTATGTGTGCTTTCTTATGTTCTGTTCTGCACTGTATGTATGGTGTGTATTGTGTGTATCTATGTATGTATGTTCAGTATTTATATGTATGTGTGTATCTATGTATGTATGTACAGTTGTATATGTATGTGGGTATGAGGCTGTATCTATGTATGTATGTAACGTATGTATTTGGATGTATGGTACTGCATATGCTCTTTGTATTTTTGCTTGCACAATGCGGTTAGAATTGCAGGCACATACCGTTACTGTACATGTGAGTATTTACATAGAACAACATACCAAAGACATATCATTATGGTAGAACTGTGACAAGAATTTGAACATAAAGCATACCTCATCAGTGATAAGCTGAAATTCACCTGGATAAATTGTTCAATTTAGACAGATGTACAGGGAAAAAAAGATTAAGGAATGTATGAAATTAGAATTGACAGTTATGATTTTGAGAAAACTAGTTCAACAATTTTGTAAGTGTTGACCAAAGCTATGAAATGAGGACAGTTAGTTTTATAGTGATTGACTATTCAGGAAGTGATACTGTGTGTTTCATTTTGACTGACAGGACAGAAGCAAATGTTGATGTTGAAAAAAATACGCGGAGAATTGTATGAAAGTAACTGATTACATGAAACAAAAGCATTGAAATGTGTTCAGAGGAAATCAGAAAACTCGCCATGATAATGTGCACCAATGAACCTATGTTGTGAGAAGTTGAGCAAATCGTTTTGAGAACTTTAGCCTGATGTGAAAAATGCACCAAAGCGACTGAGAAAAAAACTGTAATTCATTTGTCCTTGTACCAAGAAAAGTGTGTATGTAGGAGGAGGAAGTTAACTTACTAGTAGTTTCCATAACGTCATTTCTGTGTGCAAAAAATATAGTCATAATTCTCGTTATAATTCACTCAAGATTTGATAAAGGGTCAAAATGAAGTAAACCATTTCCTCTTTGAAGGGTGTTTGAGAACAGGAACAATCTGATCACACTCTATATTTATTAAAAGTTCACCACCTCGTAATCTCTCTGTGCTGTTGATCTTTGAAAGATACGGAGTCTTCATCGCTCAAGTAATTTTTGCATTATTTTATGTAAAACAAAATAGGAATCTGGCAAATTGCTACATGAGTTGTTTGACAAAAATGCACACACATGTTATAAAAAGTAAAAAATATATCAATACAAAATGGTCCTCTGGTGACATTGCTCTACAGTTGTTTGCCTCCCAATGTGTTATAAGCAAATAACACTAAATATTGTTCGCTTTATCAGACTTGTCATGTCCTGAAGCGGCAGTTGAGGTCTGCTGTCCATGGATATCTGTGACGTTTGAGTGTTGGAGCAAGCCTTCGCCTTTGACAACCTCTTCAGAGGCTGCCATGATGAACTTGCGAATTTTCCTTGTGGCGAAATAGTACACCACGGATAAGGATACAGGTTTTCAAACCCATCAGCACCAAGTCACCTGATGTGCGTCGTTGAATGTTGTAAGATCTGGTTGGAACCATTGCACGCTGCCCAACCTTCTTGAACTGCCAACACGCTAACGCCTACGGCCTTGGACAACGTGGTGTGCAAAAAGCACAAGATGGAAGACACCGGACAACCGCTAGCAGCAATCTGCGTGCTTTTTGCTTGACACCTCTGGGGCTTTGCGTCGGAAAAACTCCTGGTGGACTCTCCTGGATTTAATCGTAGATGACCTTATCTCAGATTGGAGCGGAGATTGCGTGATGAGTTTTGAACGATGCGTAGGTTGCATATGACGAAAAAAAAAATGAGGAAATATGATAAACGAAAAACATTGCGATTATGGCGAAATGGGTCGCGGCTACGGTTTTCTTTGGAGAATCGGTTTGATTTTGGGTATCCTTCCAAAGCCAGCGAGTTTTACCGTCGAATCCAAGTTGGTTCAGGTGAAAGTAGATAAGGAACGGACATGGCGGACGACAGCAAGCAAATGACAAAGAAAATTACTATCCCGCGATTTTCGACGGTCCGAAGATACAGCATCAACGGCTTCGAGACGCCCAGTATCGGTTGACACTATAGCACCCAAGAAAAGGATGGAAGAATATGTATTGACGAAAAATTGGGTTCATGTTAAACGACACATAAATCGGAGTATATTCCAATCGCACGACGACTGTAATAATCGATCCAAAAAGGTAGCGCGACCACGAGAGAAGGGTCCGAACGGTGTGTTGGTCATGTAGATGCGAATTCTCGCCATTGGCTCTAGCTTCGCGAAGACAACGAATCACGAACAGGACGTAGAGTTGGCGAGAAGGACCAGTGGGCGAAGATCTTAGCCGTAGATGGGAGGGGAGAGGGCATAGCGAAACTCCGAGTCCAGGAAGGAAGAGGAGTTGGTGGTGGAGAGGGGAGACCGCTTGGGGTGGCTGTGGGGAACCAGGGTGGAGGAAGCATAATGAGTCCAACTGGGGATAGAGAAAAAACTGTGTTAGAATAATATTTAAGACTAAGATTAAAGAGTTTTTTTTCCTCCACTGTGGAGCGAATGTCAGTGTTGCATCCTCAGTGATAGAACAGTAGGAATGAGGAGCCACCACTAAAAAAGTGTAAAGCCGCTAAAATAAAGTGAGTAAAATTAAATACATTCTAAGATTTATCAAATTAAGAAGCAAGTTTAAGTCTATATAGTTGGCTAATAAGAAGCCAAGTTTAAAATGTCTACCTAAAACATTTATAGTTGAGGCTTGTTTGCAATGTCCGTCCCTAGGAGGGTTATTAACCACTATTAAAAAACATTATTACATTATAAAATTCACATTATACAGACAGGCAGACAAAGTAAACATTGAAGATAACAAGAACAAGAAAAGAGGACATCACAAAGCGAGTTTCAGTGCAAATATGCGGTAAAGTGCAATAGTTTGGTATAAAGTGATATGGTGCAGATTAGGTGCTTCACAACTGTTAATGTAGTTCCCCAAACTTTATTCCCGCACAGGGCCCTATGGCGTCGTCCTGAGGGTAAAAGTGTTGCTGGCAAACCAACATTTAGCTCAAACAATATCATTTTAGGTTTATGTACAAGTTTAGTTAAGAAGGAGAGAAAAACTGGATATGATACAGGGCGAAGACATGCACCAGATAAACAAGACAGGGTTTAAGTCCTGGACCTCTGGGTAATACTTTATTGGAGCAATTAAAATAAGTCGTTAGTCTTTATTGCCAGCGTCTAGTGCTAGAGGTAACAGCGTTAAATAAGGCTTTGAGAGTCGAGCTGAGTGTCCACAATAGCACTTAAGATGAGGAGAACTTTTTCGTCCCACGTGGGGGAATGTCAAAATATATAATATAAGCAGCTGCTTGCTTTCTTAGCTAGCTGTAAATGCTACTTATGAGCAGCAATTATAAATATGCAGTATGTGTGTGTTTGTGTGTAAGTGTTATGCAGGATATCAAGTAGTTAAAGGGACAGTCATGGGACCCTCTGAATTGGCAGTATTGCAATATTGCACATGATTACAAAACTGTACTATTTGCAGATGGAAGGTACTAGTACAAGTTCAGCAGTTTCATTGTGCAGTCTGACTGCGCAGGAGAAAGAACCTGTGAAACCTCTCATTCACATCGTGGGTGTCTGTCTGTCACTGCATCTGCTCTCCGAGATATAAGTTTGAAAGATGATTAGATTGTTTATCATTCTGGCTGTTTTCGTAAGATGTTGGATCAAGAACGGTGTCCCTCCAGAAAGGCCTGATAATATTCAAGAGTCAAGATTAGTTTATTAATGGTACCGAAGGAATATTATATGACTTCACAGTTTTCTACATTGGAAGTGCACTTAATTCAATTCATTCAATTATTTTTTTGCAATTCCTAAATTCGCAACTGTAGCTATCTCAGAAGAATTAAATTTCAGTTCAGAACAAGAATGCAATGATTTTCAACAAAACACATAGAGCCATTGAGTCCAGAAGACAGAAATGCAACATACAGAGCAATGCAGGTGGTTCTGGAGTGTTCACGATTTTAGAGAGATACAAGTTGTTATTTCCCAGGATGTGGATATCTTTATTACTATTGGTTGAGACTCTGCAGCGTCCAAATGGGAGGAAACTCACTCTGGAAGTGATTAAGAACAAGATTCTCAAATATCAGCTGTAATGTCAAGAATGGATGCTCTCTAACTGTTATACACACTTATCTGTACAGTTCGTGCTTTTGTTTTACCAAACACGCACACGCACACACACACACACACACACACGCACAAGCACACGCACACGTACACACACACACGCACACGCACACGAAATGAAGTCAGGGCATGAGTCGATGTGGATTCCCCAGTATCTATAGTATCTCTGAGCAATGGGATGGAGAGGCAAGTAACTAATAAAATTCTTAACGGTAATTTACCCAACTCTTTCGACTCTTAATCTGTATCATTGTAATGGATCACTCATCTGAGCATATGTTAAATATGATCATCATGTCTGATTAAGATACACTGTGTACTATATACATAAGGACTGAATAAGAATGAGGAAATTAAATCTCTGACTCAGATTCATCACATCGAAAAAAAAATACATCTAAGATTCGGAATACGTCTCAGGAGTTGTGGGCGTTGATAATGATTAAGAGATGTTATTCGTCCCACCGTGGAAATTTCAGTGTTGCATCACTCAGTGACTGAACAGTAGGAATGAAGAGCACACAGCACAAGATGAAATTAACAACTACCTTTTATAATGTTATAAAATTGAATAAAATCTCTAAATTCCAGCGATACTAATAAAATAATAATAATTAATTCAAATAACAAAAACAGACCAGAGAGAGAGAGTGAGAGGGGTCAGAGGGCAAAGAGTCCCAGATAGAGGACCTGTGACAGACCAGAGAGAGACCAAAGAGACACCAGATAGGAGACAGACAGAGCCAGAGAGAAAGACCCACAGATAGAGACCTGTGACAGACAGAGATAGACCAGAGAGGAGACCAGAGAGATGACCAGAGAGAAAGACCACAGTTAGAGAGGTCACCGAGAGAGAGGACCAGAGAGACCCCAGATAGAGAGGTCACAGAGGACCACAGATTGAGAGGTAACAGATGAGACCACAGATAGAGAGGGCCACAGAGAGACCAGAGAGAGAGACCTCCGAGAGAGTGACCACAGAGAGTCCAGAGAGAGACAGATGAGAGAGGCCACACGAGAGACCAGATAGTGAGTCAGAGAAGGAGATTGTAGATTAGAAGATATTTAATGTTTTCATTATTTGTTCTTAATTATTGCCTCTCCACCTGTTCTGGTCTGCTCCGTTCACCAGTTGTCTTGTCTTGTGGTGCAGTGAGAGAGAGGGAGAGAAGGAGTGGAGAGCAGAGTGAAGGGGCGGAGTCACAAAACTCCTCATTGTGCAACTTTCTTTTTCGCTTCAGATTTTACAGTTCCCTTCAAATATTTTTTCCCTTATTTTCTTGTATTTCTTACAAGGCAAACAATTTCAAATATATGTTGGAAAGTTGCTCTTTGCTAAAGTGAGAGATTTAAACTTTCTTTTTCTTATGTCAGACGATTGTTTGTACTTATACGTTTTGAGGTATTACTCAGTTTATCTCTGTGCTCGTCATTGCTGCCTCTCATGGTGATGCAACACTGATATTTCCCAGTTGGACAAATAAAGATCTCTTAATCTTTGTCTAAACCACTGTTCATTCTTTGTGGACTTTCCTGCGGGTGCTCCAGTTCCCACAGGTGCTCTCTCTACACGGTCAGACTCCAGAGACCCTGATAGAGAGATACTTCATGTTTAAACTTTGAAACATCTGGAGACACTGCCCACTCCATGCCATTTCACAACTATAAACAGTTCCGAAAGACAAAAGAGAAAAAAAGCTAAACAATTATAAATAGAAATGTGGGTTCACCCAAAACAAGCCAAGGAGGAAGGTAAGAAGTACCATGGAGGATTTACTGACGATCTGGAACCATGGTGAAGGGTGAACCGGGTCTTTACACTGCAGTAGGTGTAGGTTAGTTACCATATGAACCAACTGGGCCTCTGAGGAGCACAGGGACTGGCACTTCCTGCTGGGACTCTGAGGAGCACAGGGACTGCTCTGCTGGGACTCTTGAGGAGCACAGGGATGGCTCCTGCTGGGACCCTGAGGTGCACAGGGGACTGGCCTCTTGCAGTGACTCCAAGAGCACAGGGGACTGGCCTCCTGCTGGGACTCTGAGGAGCGAAATAAAGGACTGGCCTCCTGGCTAGTCCAGAGTCAGGACTAAACATGGCATCGGCAGCTTTTCAAAAACAGTTTTTTTTGAAAATGTGAGCTTCTTCTCCTAACAATTTCAAATCAAGTTAAAACTATTTTGTTTCTCTGTGCCATTACAACTGAGGGACTTCTATATTCAATCTTTTTGTGCGGTGCTTATTTATGTTTTATTTATGTTTACATTTTTGCTTTTCGTTAGGGCACCCTTTTTTGAGGTTGCACTTGTGTATGAACTATATACATTCTTTAAGCCACAGTGACAAGAAAAGACAAGACTGAAACAGTACACTGTCACTTTAGATTCACAGTACAATTCAAGAAACATGTAAAAACCTTCAAACAAGGTCAGAAATCTAGGGGGTAATACTGGACTCAGTAACATCAGCAGCTTTTTTCCATCTAAATAACATTGCCAGATCAAAAAACATAGTGTCTATAGCAGCGTACTTGGGATTCTTATCCATGCATTTGTCTCAGTAGGTTAGGGACTACTGCAATGGCCTGCCCTCACAGGTCTGTCCAAAAAGGCTGTAAAAAAGCTGCCAGTACATCAAATGTACTGCAGCTGACTAGAACCAGGAAGTTAGATCATAATAGTCCAGTTCTCAGGTCTCTGCACTGGCTTCCTGTGGCTCAGGAAATAGACTTTAAACAGCTCTGCTTGTGTACAAGTCTCTCCATGGCCTCGCACAAAATATTATTAGTGACATGTTAGTCCCATATGAACCAGCCCGGACTCTGAGGACCAACAGGCGATGGACTCATGTTAGGGGCACAAGAGTCAGAAAATAAAACATGGGGAGGCTGCTTTTCAGATTCATGCTGCTAAATCTGGAACATCTATCCAGAAGATGTGAGACAGGCCTCCCTCTCTGACAATGTGTCAAACCAGGTTAAAAAACAGTTATGTTTAGCTGTGCATACACTGCGGGATTTTATATTTTTATCTTTCTTGTTTAATTTACTGTGATTATTTATGCTATTCTGATTTGTTCAGCACTTTGAGTTGCCTTTGTGTATGAATTGTGCGAATACAATAAACTTGCTTGCCTAACAAACTACAGAGAGTGAGCGAGCGAGATGAGAGTGCAGAGAAACCGGGGAGAGTCCTGATGTGATGGGTGTGTTCTAATTCTAAACTAATCTTTACCAACGACCTGTATTACTGAAATTCTGTAACACCTAGATGGCAGTAGAGACGGTTTAGGCAGAGCAGCACTTCATGCCTAAAAATAAATCCTGCTAACCAACTAATATTAATATTGTCATGTCATGTTATACTGTCATTTGTATAATACAACATGGTTCACAACATGATAAATTATACCGATGAAATAAATAAATCATGGTTTAAAACTAAAAATACACAATTCAATAGAATACAGAGTTCCCACAGCCAATGAATGTCACATGACCTCCTCGGAGAACGCCATCTATTGATGGCACGCTGCTGTGTTTGTGCATTCCATTAAAAGAAGAATGAGAATAAATGTAGATATTAAAACGACAAATTGGAAAAATGGGCAAACCTTTTGAGCAAATAATTGTTCTTAATACAATGGCACCACAGTTTAACAGTGCTACGGACATGTTTACATTTTTGATCAAATTATGCAGCAAAAATTAACATGCAATGGCAAACATTTCCCAAAAACTTTATATATAATACCATTGAGCTCCATTTAATTATTTTAATTTTATTAACAATTAATTTAATTAATGCTAATGCCACAGGACATCTCGGATTGCTGTTATTGTTGATTTTCGCGTTTTTGACCGTATGTTTGGTGGAATGGTGGGCAACTGATTTGTCCAGGCGTAAAGAGCAGTTTATTTTATGACACAGATCTTTTTTCGAAAGCATGCTGTTTGTGAACATAGTTTAGCCCACCCTAGAACTATTATGATCTATTTAATAAATTTACGTGCCCTCGTGAGCTCGGCGCTGACACCGATAATCTCATAATTAAGTAATCTAACGCCAAATCAATGAACCTCTCAAGTTACCAGATATCAGCATACACAAGTTAGTACTGAGTAAATTCGTCTGTCAACAACATTATAAGATACGATACGCCACTGACACAAAGGGCTCGCGCATATTCTTGCGTGTTTTGAGGGAGTTTCTTGCCTGTTTATCTTCGCAAGCCTTAGACCTCGTGGTTGTTCTGACAAAGCTTAGTCTTCTCACATTCTGAAGTCTAATGATGGGTATACTGTTAAAATCCAAGTTAACGGAACCTCCGGCACGATTTGACATCCATTGACAGCAGGAGATGACCATTTTCAACTTATCACGACATTAACACGTTTCAGCTCTTTTTCTATTGGTTTTGCCCACAGATGCCAAAACAAATGGGCGCCGGGTCGGCAAATCCCAGTATCGTAGTGACGTCATGTGGGAACTGTGCGGCGCGTGCGTGGGGTGTGTGTGTGTCTAGCAATGTATCATCAATTAACATTCAACTAAAACAAACGGTTTTATACATTTTATCATCTAAAACACTGCCAAAGAGATGAATTACATATTAAAAGGTTGAATTCAATCTGCTAAGTTGTAACTATGCAGTGAACGCCCCCCTGCAGTGAAAGTCAGATCCCGTCAGACCTCTGACAGGTAAGCAGGACAGGGCCTGGATTAATACAGTGATGGGAGACCTTGAATTAAAATCAAATAACAAATGTGATAGTGAATGTTTCCCCGCTTCTTTTGTCCTGCACCTGTGTATTTTTAGCTGAAGATAATGACCACATGCTTTCACACACTTTTGTCAAAGTATTTCTGTTAATAAATATATACGAGGCTTGTGGTCACTTTAATTCTTGAGTAAAAAGTGTATCTAGTCAGGCGTCGGGTGCTGCTGGACTGGTGAGTGCAGCCAGGGGGCGCTGTGGAGGCCTGAGATATGTACATGTGTAAAGTGTGCAGGAGTGAACCACTGGCTACATTTGATCCGCACATCTGACTCTGCTTAATCCTAACTCAGAGGCAGCATGGACACAGCTCTGTCCGCAGTGGTCAACTCATAGTTACAAATCTATGGTTCAACTGGGAGGGAACATGTGTCAACAAGAGATATTTGGGGTGACAGAATGAAATGACTTAACGTTGACAAAATTAGAACTGTTTTTTCAATGCTGGAGAAATGTTACCTTTTTTTTTTTTTTATTGTTTTAATAAAATCATTGTACAATAGCAAAAAGCAAGTTAAGCAGTAAGCTTTTTCTTCATGGTGTAACTAAAATTTGCCCATGAGACAAGTATAAATCTCTTGTTAAATAAACACAATCACAATAAATGACAATATATTTATATTGTGCTTGAAATAATTGTGGACATGATATAATGTTCAGATCTCTCAGTGCTCCTTTTGTCGTATAGTCATTTTGTTTGATCCGTGTGTCACCGCTGCAGCAGGAAAGATTTGGATTCAGATCTGTGAATGAACCCGCGCTCCACAGTGTGCGTTCTGTAGCTGTGCGCCAGGTCTGCGGCGATCTCAATGGAGAGGCCCTTTTTGCAAATCTCACAATTATAATACAGTAATATAGGTTACAAAGTGATATAGATTCAAGTTAAGTAAACTCAAACCATTTTTTTCCCTTTTTTTTGGCTGCTATGTTTGCTGTCCTGTTCTACAGTATGTACAAAGGTCTATTTATATTTGCTTCTACGCTAATTTTCTTACACAATTATTATTATTACTTACAACTCTATTATGTTTTATACAGTTATTCCTTCTATCCGTGTCGAGCTCAATACCAAACCTAGGTTTTTCAGTCTTATCATATATACACCATTGCAATAATTATTCCACTAATACTTTAATTTAAGAGTGTTACAATGACCATTTTTTTACAAGGTTGTGTTATCCAAAAGTTTAGATTCAAACCAAGACATGTATATAACATATACAATGGTAATATTCTAATCGACCCAGGCAACGTTGGACCCTAACCAATTGGCATCGGGGGCCAAAAAGGTTGAGAATCTCTGACACACTGTATACATGATTTTGATTGATTAATGAATAAATAAAACTAAAAAGTGGGGTGAGAAAAAATTACCTATGCTAATCCACTTCAGAAAGTTACCTGATTTCAGTATTATTACAGGTTTAGACCTAATGACGGAAACAAAATTGCCAACACAAATTACAGAAGCAAACAGTTGAAACACAGTTATAGAAAACACATACACGCCTGGGTCATAAGGGGCAGAGACCAATGTCCATAAATGTTGATAGGAGTCCAATGAAATGTGCTTATCAATGAAACAGTATTGGCAATTACACACATCTTTTTCTCTATTTTATCGGACTCTTTCAGTTCTTTGGAGAACTTCTCTTTGGTCACCTTCCATGACATATCTGTGCATTCTTGATAGAGCTGCTTCTTTGTTGTTTTGGTGAAATCTGCTTTACATCATCCTCCAGATGTTTGTAGATTAGTGCAGGTTCCATGGGGGGGGGCTTTCTTTTCTTCTGGTGTCTTCGATCCTACGTCTTCAGCCTCAGCAGTGGGACACAAGAACCGGCCAAGTTCTGCCGTTCTCTTTTGTTAGATACTTTTTATATTCCTGAACACTGGTGAGCAGAGGTTTCATGGTCCGTGATCAAATTGAACTTTTGCCCTTCCTCCTTTTCATCTGGGTGTCATTTATCTCTTTGCCGTGAGAGCGGAACGTTTAGGAAGTTTCAATCCATTTAATTTTGTGTATATCCCTGAATCACAACATGTAGTTATCTCGGAGGAATTTACAAAACTGTTGAATTTGCCACAGGACACATCGAGAATTCAACAGTATAACACAACAAATGCAATGATAAAAAAACACACATGGAGCCCCTTGTCTATAAGTCTAGAATCATCACTGGACTATTGATGCTCTTGCTTGTTCCTTCTTGTGTGCTGAATAATAGCTCAAATCCCAATTGTGGGAAAAAGTGGCAGGCTGGGATCATAAAGATGTAAAAATGTTATCAATGTATCATTTTATTTGCACTTCCTCAAAACACCCACTATACTCCACCTCCATTCAGTGTGGTCCTTCAGCAATCTGTTGTACTTTGCTGCTGAGAGATAATTACCGTATTTTTCACCTTATCCCAAGAAAGCTCTGAGCTTCTTTTGTTTGTGGGCGTTCTTCAGAAGGTAAACTAAATTTGTCCAGAATGGAACCTTGTATATTTGTCTATGAACTATTGGTGGTATGTTTTAAGGCTGTAACCTCACCATACATGTTGTACACTTTTCAAACCCAAGCTGAACTCACAATTGGCTGAAGTGAGAAAGAGAGCAGAGGTATCAAATCGGTTGGTTGAAGGTCCTAGAGCACTGCTGCAGCTGTCAAAAGCGTGCATCACTGTAAAAAGAGCTTTAGAGGACACTGAGGGGCAGGAGCAGGATGGCACATGCAGGGACAGAGAGAAAGAAAGGATGAGACCAGAGAGAGGCCCAGAGAGAAAGACTGAGAGACAAGAGAGAGAATGAACCAGAGAGAGTCAGTGGTAGTGGCAGTGCACACAAGACACAAAACTTGCTCCTTTCTATATCAAAAGGAAAACTGTCTACTGGCGGTTATATGATGTTATTGGGAGTGTACTTGTGTAATGAGAAGGGACTAACCCTTAACCCATCACAGTACTAACCAGGCCCTGCCATGCTTAGCATCAGATGGTGTTGGGGATATTGGCTTTCCATGCAGGTGGCGCCTTCGGCAACACTTTACATTGTTACTAAAGTGTTTTATTTTTGTTTTCAGTTTCAGTTTGTCCACACTAGTTCTACACGCAAACACATACAAACACACACAAAATACACATACATATAAGCACGAAAACACATACATACACAACCACACACACACACACTCCACAAGAAACAATTTTTACATTCTTCTGTATCATTTTGCATGAGTGATTGTTTTTTTTAAAATCTTTTACTGTTTTGTTTGAGCCTTGCGTATGAAACTGTTGCCATACAAAAAAAATTACCTTGCCTGCCTTAACACTCAACTGCCCCAGTCCAGGACGGGGCAGAGTGGCGGGTTCCTACATGACGAGGAAGGCCGTTCTCTTGCGGTTCTGTCGGCGGAGAAGGGGAAAATCAGCCCACTTTTCTCATTGTTGCACCGCGGTGGAATGCGCTGGTTTGGTGCATGTTTGAAAAGACAGGGCTTTTCTGATCTCGCTTAAACCCTCATCTGGACTTCCGGGACATCTATGCCGACAAAAGCGACCCATGTGAGAAGCAGAGAGAAGAAGAAGAATAAAAAAAAGAAAAAGTTGTGGATATTTTTTTTTTTTTTTGTAAACCCCCCTTCCGAGTCTGCGCACTACTCGCTGGAATCCCGGACGGCGGTGAGCGGCGAGAGTAAAACATTTTTTTTTTCACCATTCTTCTTTCGCAGTGTATTCTTTTTTTGTTTTTTTTTTTTTTTTACAGCGGATGTGGCCAAAGCAAAGGGAAACCAAGGGAAAGAACCAGACAGTGGACAGCAGAGACTTGAGTACGGAAGCGAAGGAAGGAGACGTGATAACATGGCAAATTCCACTGTGTTGCGTCAAAACTACCCACGTTCTGGCCAGACTTATATATGTATACATGTTATTGTGTGTGTGTGGCTGCCTACGTTTACACACACATATATATTTTTAACATATTCAGTTGCGGTCATTCCTGATACTTTTGACCTCCTCCACTACAGTTCTCATGATTACACACGTATCGCGTACTCTCGCGTTATTATCATATTTTTTCTCTTTTTTTTCTTTTTTTTTTTTATTACCTAACTAGTGTCCCACCTCCTAAAAAGGGAATAGGCAGCCCCAAAGTCAGAGCACTCGTTTCATCCTCTTCCCACACTTCCTCCCAGACTCGGTGCGAAGTACAGGGCGAGATTTGTCGGTGCCAACTTGTCCCGGATGGTTGTCTAATAATCACTCGGGGAGAGTTTGTTATGTGTTTTGAGATTTGAGATTTGTTTTGTAGAGTTTGTGGGTGAATTGTTTTGCAGTTACAGTTGTATGGCACTAGCCGGTCTGTTTTAATGTGCCAAAAAAAATGATTCTATAAACGAAAGCAGGCATGTCACATGTTCAGGACCGCGGTCAATGCGGTCCGTTGTGGATGTTGCGTGGCCCCCTCTGATTTGAGTAGGATTTGAGATCAATATATGACACAACTTCAATTCAATTCAATGTGTTTTGTGTTTTTTTTCCCCCCTTCTAAGCCCTTAAATCATACAGCGGTCATCGCGAGGCGTTTTGCATAAGTAGTGTGGAAACGCATATGAATATTGAAACGTGCTTTTGGGCAGTGGGCAGATTAAGAGATCTTTTTTTTGTCACGCAGTGGGGGAGGTTTCAGTGTGGCCTTCATTTGTTACATAACAGTAGAATTGAGGAAGAGACATTGCAAGATAAGGACAATAAATTTATAATAAAATAGAATAAAATCTCCAACTTTATTGCTTCCAGTAAAAGTTGTCTAACGTCTGTATCGTCTGACATAGTTAAAAAGTGAAAATCTTCTTGGAGTGAGAGCGATGGCGAAGTGAACTTGTAAACAGAGGCCGTGCACAAGCCCAGTTCTCCTCGCCTGCACGCTCTGTTTACAAGTCACTGTCGCCATCGATCACACTCCAAGAGATTTTCACTTTTTTACTATGTCAGGACGATACAGACGTAGGACAACTTTTACTGGAAGCAATAAAGTTCTGGAGATTTTATTCTATTTTCATTATAAAGTTATTGTTCCTTTATCTTGCCACAATGTCTCTTCCTCATTTCTACTGTTCTGTAACAAATGAAGCCACACTGAAACGCTCACCACCTGCGGGACAAATTAAAGATCTCTTAATCTGCCACTGCCCAAAAGCACTTTTCAATTATTCTATGCGTTTCCACACACTTTCAAACTCCTCGCGCTGACCGCTGTAGTGATTTAAGGGCTACACAAAAAACACATTTGAATTGAATTGACAGTTGTGTCTATTTGATCTCAAATCCTACATCAAAGCAGATGGGGCCACGCAACTCCACAAGGACGGCATTTTGACCGCGGGCCTGAACATGGACATGCCTGCTCGTTTAGAGAATCATTTTTTTTTTGGGACACATTACAAACATGACCGCTAGTGCATACAACATGTCTGCCAACACATTCACCCACAAAACTCTAAAAACAATCCAAATCTCAAAAACACAAAACAAACGCCCACCCCGTCAGTGATTATTTAGACAACCATCCGGACAAGTTGGCACCACAATCTCGCCCTGTAAATCCGCACCGAGTCTGGGAGGAAGTGTGGCGAAAGAGGAGGAACGAGTGCTCTGACTTTGGGCTGCCTATTCCTTTTTAGGATGGTGGCGACACTAGTTGGTAAAAAAAAAAAAAAAAAGAAAAAAAAAAAGATAAAAATATGTAATAACGCGAGGAGATACGCGATACGTGTGTATAATACATTAGGGACTGTATGGATGACGGTCAAAAGTATCAGGAATGACGCAGACTGATATGTAAAAATTTATATGTGGCTGTTAAAGTAGGCACCCCGCACACACACACAATAACATGTATACATATATGAAGTCTGGCCGCTAGAAACGTGGGTAGTTTGACGCAACAACGGATTGCATGTTATCACGTCTCTCCTCGCTTCGTAATCTAGTCTCTGCTGCTCTGTCTGTTTCTTTCCCTTGGTTTCCCTTTGCTTTGCCACATCCGCTGTAAAAAAAAAAAAAAAAAAAAAAAAAAAAAAACTAACTCTGCGGAAAGAAGAAGGGGGAAAAAAAATTGTTTTACCTTTCTCGCCGCTTCACCGAAGTCCAGGATTCCAGCCGAGAGGTGCGCAGACTTCTGAAGGGGGGTTTACAACAAAAAAAAAAAAATTCACAACTGTTTTCTTTTTTTTATTTCTTCGTCTTCTTCTTATGCTTCTCACCATGGGTCGCTTTTGTCGCATAGTGTCCGAATCCAGATGAGGTTTTAGAGCGGAGATCCCAGAAAGCACCTATCTGTACTTTTCAACAGCACAAACAAGCGCATTCCACCGCGGTGACAACAATGAGAAAGCCCGTTGGGCTGGAATTTTCCCCTCTCCGCCCGGGGACAGGGACCGCAGAGAGAACGCCTTCCTCGGCTGTAGGGACCCGCCTCTCTGCCCCGGTCTGGACTGTTGCAAGTGTGAGGTGTTAACGGCAGGCAAGGTAGTTTCTTTTGTATTGAACATGTTTCATACGGCAAGGCTCAAACCAAAACAAGTATAAACGATTTACAAAAAAAACAATCCTCAGGCATAATGATCACAGAAATGTAAAAAGTGTTTCTGGGTGAGTTGTGTGTGTGTGTGGGCTGTGTATGCTATGTGTGTGCGTGCATATATCGTATGTGTATTTGTGTGTGTGTGAATGTGTCGTGCGTGTAGAACTTATTTGATGGACAAACTGAAACTGAAACAAAAAATGAAAACCACTTTATTAACAATGTAAGTGTTGCAGATGGCGCCACCTGCATGGAAAGGCCAGATCCCAACACACATCTGATGCTAAGCAGGTGGCAAGGGGCCTGGTTAGTACTGTGGATGGGTTAGGGTTAGTCCTCTCATTACATCAAGTACACCCAATAACATCATATAACACCGCCAGTATGACAGTTAGCCTTTTGATATAGAAGACAAGTTTTGTGTCTTGTGTGCACTGCCACTACCACTGCTACTATCTGGTCTCTCTCCTCTTGTGCTCTCAGAAGTTCTTTCTTCTCTGGTCTCCTCTGGTCTTCTCCTTCTTTCTCTCTGGTCTGCATGTGCCATCCTGCTCCTGCCCATCCAGTGTCCTCTAAAGCTCCTTTTTACAGTGTATGCACGCTTTTGACAGCTGCAGCAGTGCTCAGACCTCTCATCCAACAGAGGTGATACCTCTGCTCTCCTTTCTCACTTCAGCCTTTGTGAGTTCAGCTGGTTAGAAAGTGTACAAACTTTTAATGTGAGGGTATTTACAGCCTTAAACATACCCACCAATATTAACAGAAAATTATTTATACAAGGTTCCTTGCTGCGACAAAAATTGAGTTTACTTCTGAAGACGCCCACAACGAAAGAGCTCAGAGTCTGTCTTGGATAAGGTGAAAAATTACGGTAATATCTCTCAGCAGCAAAGTACAACAGATTGAGAGAAGGACCAAACTGAATGGACGGTGGAGTAAAGTGGCGTGGTTTTGCGAAGTGCAAATTAATGATTACAGTGAAACATTTTACTTCTTTATGGATCCAAGCCTGCCCACTTTTTCCCACATTTGGGTTTTGAGCTATTATTCAGCACAACGATATGACATGCAAGAGCATCAATAGTCCAGTGATTATCTAGACTTATAGACTAAGGGATCCATGTAGGTGTTTTTTTTACTCATGCATTTGTCTGTGTTGGAACTGTTTGTTCTCTGATCTGTCTTGGCAAATTCAACAGTTTTGTAAAGTCCTCCGAGATAACTACTGTTGTGATTCAGGGATATACACAAAGTAAATGAATTGAACTTCCTAAAACATTCGCTCTCACTGGCAATGAGAGAAATGACTCCCAGATTGAAGGAGAAGGGCAAACGTTCATTTGATCACGGACCATAAACATCGCTCACAGTGTTCTGGCATATAAAAAGGTGATCTAAACAAAAGAGACGGCAGAACATGGCCCAGGTCTTGTGTCACAGCAGCTGGATGGGCTGAGTCGTAGGATCGAAGACAGAGACAGATGCGAACAGCACTAATCTAAAAAACCTTGGAGGTATGGATGTGAAAGCAGATTTTCCACCAAAACAAGCAAGAAGCAGCTCTATCAAGAATGCACAGATCATGGCATGGAAGGCGTGACAAGAGAGTCTCCAAAGAACTGAAAGGTACCATAAAGAGAGGAAAAAGATGTGTGTAATTGCCAATACTGTTCATTGATAAGCACATTTCATTGGACTCTATCACATTTATGGACATTGGTCTTGCCCCGTATGCGACCCAGGGCTAGTATGTGTTTTTATATCAACTGTGTTTCAACCTGTTTGAATCTTTATTGGTGTTGGCAATTTTGTTTCCGTCATTAGGTCAACCTGTATTAATACTGAAATCAGGTAACTTCTGATGTGGATTAGATGTAGGTATTTTTTTCAACCCCACTTTTTAGTTATTTATTTCATTTAATCAAGTTTCAAATCATGTATTACAGTGTGCAGGCTTCTCAACCTTTTTTTGGGGCCACCGTTGCCATTGTTATGGACCAAACCGTTGCCCTAGGGGGCATGAGTAGATATTACATTGTTACTTGTTATTAATGTCTTGGTTTGAATCTAACTGTTTGATAAGCACATCCTTGTAAAAAATGTCAATGTAACACTCATTAAAATTAAAGTATTAGGGAATAATTATTGCAATGGTGCGTATATTATGATTGACTGATATCCTAGGTTTGGTATGGGAGTGACACGGAGAAAGAATACACTGTATAAAAATAATAGTTTGTAAATAATAATATTAATATTGTAAGAAATGTCGTTAGGAAAGACAAATATAAAAGACCTTTGTACATACTTAGAACTGGACAGCAAAACAGAGCAGCCAAAAAAAAGGGAAAAAAATGGTTTTGAGTTTAAATTAAACTTGAATCTAAATCAATTTGTAGACTATATTACTGTATTATAAGTGTGAGATTTGCAAAAAAGTGCTCTCAATTGATGAACGCCGCAGACATGGCCGCCACTGCAAATCATTCACCAATAATAAGGAAACATATCATCATTCACAAACATTTTTTCTTAACAATCAACTCAGATTTAAACTATTAACTCATCAAATACATCACATTTAAACTATTTACTCATCAAATAAATCAGATTTAAACTATTAACTTATCGAGTTAATAGTGGATTTGCTGGTGGATTTGGTCCGAGCCGGTCCCCTTGGTCTGGTGGTGCTGCTGGTGGATCCAGTTCATTCTGGTTCAAATGTCCGATTTCCAGCGGTGGGTCTGGGCCCTGGCTCCTGCTCTCCTCCAAGGCCAGCAGGATGAACTGGACCAGGACCACAAAGGTGATGAAGACCAAGGGGCCGCCCAGATGAAGTAGTCAAAGCAGTGGTGGTCCTGAGGCCGACATGGTCTCATTGTGTCCTGAAAGAGAAGCAAACATCATCAAAAACATGGATGGAGGCTCTTTTGTCTGCTCTAGTTTAATCTCTGTGGGGCAGTTTACACGGAGACAATGTGGTAGTAAAACACTATAGTTGGATGTCGGTTGCTACCAGCCGTTCATACAGAGACTGTGTTCCAGGGGGCTGAAAACGTACAGTAAATGTTCAGATCCAGCCTGCAAAGTGGGACAGCTCAGAAACGCTGCACAGCGGGGCTCTCTTTCACACCCGCGTGAGGGAAAAAGGTGTGAATTCCCTGCCTGAGCTGACCCCCGCCTCCCCGCTGCTCCCTGCACGTAAATTTGGATATGCGCAGTAGCGGAGAACAAACATAAACAACAATGGCGGCGGGAACACTAACTTTCTTCGTGGGCTTCGAGTGTGGCACAGAGGATAATTCTACACCTTCGATCGTCCAAATGAGACCATGCGAAGCTCTAGTTTCAGTATAAACTCAGCCTGAGACGAGTCGAGCGAGAATGGAACATTTGAAATATTAGTATTTCTAATGACTGCGTTAGCAGACACCTATTGACAGCGTTAGCATTGATACCTAATGACAGCGTTAGCATAGAAACCTAATGACAGCGTTAAAGTGGTACTAGAATTTAATATGCTGCTATCCTGAATGTATAACTACAATATGTGTTTTTAATATTTCGGGTGTTCATTTTGACATGTTAACAAAACGCTAGGGGGCGCCAAAATGGCAGCGATGACGTAAGAGAATGACCTCTCGGCAGCAGACAGCTAGCCAGGCTCCAGCCAACCTTTAGCCTCCATGGAATTTCAGCGGGCAGGTTGGTCTGGCATTTCTCAATTGAAAAACTATTGTGTGGCGGGTTCCAACCATAGACTGTATATATTAATGGACAGAGTCACGCCTATCTCCGCCGTTCTAACTAATGGGCCAAAAAATGTGCTCTACTGGAGCTATCCAAAATGGCCGCGAGTGGTCCCGGCCACAAGAAAATTGTGAAAAAACGCATCTGTGCATGCGTCAGCCGGCACAACTCCATTCATTTGAACGAGAGACTTCAAAAATTCACAGCAAGTAAACTAGAGTGGACCAAAAAAATTCACCCCCCTCAGCATTGACACACATGTGGAACGCAGCTTTGGGCCAAGAGCCAACTTTTGGACCATCCTGTAAAGACGTTTTTGAGAGGTCTGCCAATGCTATATGTTAGCATTGGCTAATTCTACTTCTGGGTCCACCCCCATCGGCCCGGGGTGGTACTGCAAGCATGTCAGCGCACGTCATTTTGGCCACTTTTGAGCTGGGACCCTCCCCCACTGATTAAAACATGTATTTAACAGTTCTTTCTCTCTGTTCCCTCAGTTACTACAACCGTATACTACACAAAAATACTGCATTGTATCAATGAAAGTAAGCGAAGTAAAGACTGTGGACTGTCAGCTGCGTCTGCGGCCGCAGATGCTACGCAGGCTAATGCTAACGCATTTCTTCCGTTCCTTATTAGGCATTTTCCTAATAATCGAAACCCGTTGGTGAAATAAATTTTAGCGAAATAGAGACTCCATAAGTTCCCCACTTGATATGTACAGTTGCCACAACTGTACACAGCACAGAAAAAGAGCATTTTGACTCGGAATCAGTGAATTTTTACATTGTTCTTGATCTATTGATTTCCTGTCCCTCAGAGCACTCTCGCGCTGCTGCGTTACGTCAGGTGCAACCCCAGCAATTGACAGCATTAGCATAGATACCTATTATCAGCGTTAGCATGGACACCTATTGATAGCGTTAGCATAGATACCTCCATGATTCCACTCCAGTTGTCGCCGGTGGAGATTTTGAAGACCACAAGGAGTGTGCTGAAGAAATCCCCAAAGTCCGACTGATGCCTTTACATAGATTTTCTGCTACACACACAACCAGTTTCAATAGGTATTTCCTCGCAACATTTTCCAAATCATCAATATATAATGTACATTTCTATTTTGGATTTATCAAAATACTCATATTTGAGAACATACCCAGTGCTCCAAAAAGCTCCACACACAGGACGGCGTAGATTTAGAAAAAGAAAAGGATGAGGAGGACCAGGCTTCCACACTGCAAACACAAAGACATGTTTAAACCTGTGGGCAGACACCAGATGTTGCGGACCGCTCACCTTCTTCAGGGTCTTCCCGATAGTCCTTATCAGGGTGTGTCCTTTTATGACCTTCAGCACTGGAAACACATTATAGCAGCACATGTGAACTTGAATGCAGGAGCTCGAGGCCCCGGGCGTTACTATGGAGACCACTGCCTCTGACAGAGGCCTTAGTGCAATATGAATGACATGCAGAGGACACATGTTTTTACAGTAACCTCCTCTGTCCCAGCTCAGCTCGGTTCTCCACTATTAAGAATTTATATGTGTCTATCTTTCTATTAACAATGTTTTAAACTGTTTACTGCCATGTATTATGTGTAGTACTTCATTTGTAGGCAATATACAGTATATGATTGTGGTACAACTATTGTATAATATAATTATTGAATGCACTCCTTAGAGCTGAGCCACATTATTGTATTGTTTGCAGTGTGATGAAAGGGTACTGTCCCTATTCAAATAAACTAATAAATAAATTAATTGTGCTATCACCCGTGTGTGCCCGTGTGTGTACCATGTGCTATGCTGAGAACCCGCAGACATTACCATATGTTGACGTCCACAGAGAGCAGGTTTCTCAGAGGAGTTGTCTTGACAATGTCCACCACACAAAGCAGCAGCAGCGCCACATACAGATAGTTCCATCTGAAACACAGACGCATTTATAAAACTATTGTCACACTTTGGTTTAGATCTCACTAATGAACAGCTCATTATAGTGCCTCTCAAAAGTATTCATATACCTGTGTCATGTTTACAAGTTAACCATAAACATAAAGATTGTTTACGGAAAGTTCACACACAAGTGTCCGACAACTAAACAGACAAGTGAAAGTAAAATGAAACATTATTAAGCTATTATTTTGCAAAGTTAGGCCTGCAAAAGTATTCATACAGAGTTCTTACTTTGTGGAATCCCCTTTTTTACAATAAGAGCAGCAAGCTGTATGATAACTTTATAAGGCATCGTGAGTGATAATTTGTGTATAATCTATGGTTAATCCTGGTTAAATGGTATTTCTTAAGCCCTCCTTATTCTACATGGCCTTTTTCAACATCTAACTAACCACTAACTGACACTTTCCCATGTAGGTTCAGGTAAACTGACTATCACTTCATCAGCTGTTAATGAGCGAGGGTTAGTCTAAAGTGTTACTATCCATCCATCCAGTGTCTTCCCCTTAATCCATTTCTGGGTCGGGGGTGTGTCAGTGAGAGCTGCACCCAGTTCACGTAGCACTAGCCCCTCACTGATCCTCCTGCAGAGTCCACAGGAGCCCTGATCTTTCAGTGGGGGCTTAAGGCAAAGTGGGGTTAAGTGTCTTGCCCAAGGACACAACGACATCAGTGGGAGTCATAAAGTAGGTCTAACTCCAAAATGCATTTTCTTCTGTATTTGACCCATCCTTCATCACCGCAGTGTTTTTGGAGACACTCACCGTGAAGACCCTGCTCCTGAGAACCCAGATCTTAAACAGCAGGAGCAAAGAGAAGCAGATGGTGACCACGTAGAACCCAATGTCCATGGTGAGCTCCAGAGCCTACACACGCACACGCAAACACAAACACACATACACACACTTTACATCAGCCACAAGTCTCCCAGGGTCCTGTTAACCCAATTTTTTCCAACCGTTTTGGTAAATTACCTTTTGAGTCACTACATCTACCTCTTTGGGGCTTCTCTATCACTTGGTTTTAAGCACTTTTAAGCACCATCAAGCTGCATCTCAACCATTCGGTAAAGGCCTATAATTATAAAATGAGAGCTGCTGAGCCTGTAAATATCAATAATCTGTAAATAGGTAAATACTAAAATCATGTGCAACTTCAGAATGTCCACTGAGCAATGTCGCTTTACTTTATTTGCTTATTATCCTGGCCTATATGTACAGTATATAACTCCGTACTACTACATATACAGTATATATTATATTTTTGAAAGACTGGTATTGAAGCATTTACAGCATTTACAGCTAGCTAGGAAACATAACTACTACTTATTTTGTATATTTTTGTGTGCTACCTGTGTGCTCTTACCACTGTCCTGTAAGTGCGCTGCACCATTGAAATTTCTTTTCTTATCTTATAATTATAAAAATCTATGGGGACCAAAAAATAAATAAAAATATGCTTTTTTACTGCCACAAGTGCAACAAGTCATAGAGATGTTGTATGGCACATTTACAACAACAGCAGCTGCCCAAAGTGCATCACAGGCACAAAAGATATAAATATAAAATTAAACAACATAAAATACATAAAACTATATGTAAAAAGTCCGTCCGTCGGTTTTCTTCCGCTTCATCCGTTGCCGGGTCGCGGGGGCAGCAGTCTAAGCAGAGACGCCCAGACTTCCCTATCCACACCTATGTAAAAAGTAAAACAGCAAAAACTCAAGGCTCGAAAATGTTTATGCCCCAATGAGGTAGATTTCAGTTCCATGCTTCAAAGTAGATGAAGTGACTTAGAAAGTGATCCACCAAATGATTGTGGAAACCATTAAAGGGGCTGCGATGGTACCTTGGGTTGCTGATAGTGGTCGGACGAGATCAGAAACAGGTTCACCAGACACACCAGGGACACTATTTGAAATAGAGGGGTTGAAGTCCGTCACAGGCTGAAGGAGAGAAGAGGTGTTAGTATGAAGACACGGCGTCCTCATTCTATATCAGAGGTGTCACACTGGATTTGGTCCACGGCAAAGCAGGTAAAACATAAGAGCTTGTTGGGGCCAGAAGTATAAAAGAGGAATAAAAGTTTTTACAGATTTTTAAATTATCTGTATTTGACATGCCTTTGAAGATAATTTTAGAACAAATACAATTAAATAATAATAAAAAAATCAATTAACTTTTATTTGTAGACTTTCTTTCTTACACAAGGCAACACAAAGCACCTCACAACCCATATCACATCAGGCATAAATCATAAACATTAAAATCTACATTCAAAATATAATTAAAATCCACAAGGGCATTAAAACACACAATTAGATCACAATTATTTAAAAATATTCAAATCACGCATTGGATTAAAATCATTAATAGCCACAGTGCAATAAGAAGAGTAAGTAAAATAATTCAGTTGTATGCACAGCTAAACAGACTTGAAAACTGCCAGAGTATTCGCCTGTCTCACATTCTCAGGAAGACTGTTCCAAATCCAAGCCGAACAAATATGAAACTCTGCCTCCCCATGTCTAGATCTAAGAATGCATCAGTTTTATACACAATGGTGATAAACTACTACTGTAGCCACAACTGGCCTGGGGCACACTGACAGAAGCGAGGCAACCATAAAGTGCCATCGGCCCCTCCGACCACCACCAGCCATTCACACACACACCAGACTCTTGCTGGTGTCAATTTGTTCATCAATTTGTATCATATCCAAACATAAATCAGCTTGCAATTTACTAGATCGGGGTGTCCACACTGACCAAACCAAGATCAACCTTTACAACAACTATCGAGCTGTGATCTGCCTCGGATTTCAGGATTCAAGATAACAAAAAAACAGGGTTCAGAGTATCACCTGGATGTCTGGACCCACGGAGTCGATGGCGTCGTACATGATCTTCACCCAGCCGTCTTTCGAGTTCATTACAAACAAGGTCAACAGCGCCTGCAATACACACACACACACACACTGTATAACCGTTGACCCTATGTAGAGACAGGAGCTGGTTTGTCCATTCATGTTTAGAATATTAATTATTTATTTATTTATTAACCTTTATTTAACCAGGAAAGTCCCATTGAGATTAAAAACCTCTTTTTCAAGGGAGTCCTGGCCAAGAGGCAGCAAAATATACAGTTTAAGAATTACATACACATTACATACTCATTATAAAAACATTTACAAGAGGTTGACTCAAGTGCTCTCACTTTGGACTTAAATTCGTTCAATGGAATAAGATCAGTCATTTTCCAGTCTTTTTGCAACGTGTTCCATGTAGAAGGAGCAGAGTGAACAAATGCCCTTTTTCCCAGTTCTGAACGGGCAAATGGAACAGTGAGCAACAAATGATCATTTGAACGCAAACTATAAGAGCCAACGCTCCTCCGTGAGATTAGGTTACAGATGTAAAAGGGCAGTAGACCAAGCATGGCTTTATAAATAAAAGTATACCAATGACTCTGCCTCCTGGAGGACAAAGAAGGCCATCCCACTCGAGAATACAGCTCACAATGATGGGTCAAGGCCCTACAGTTAGTAATGAACCTCAGAGAAGCATGATATACAGTGTCAATCTTGTGTAGACATTGAGCAGACGCGTTCATGTACAGCAGGTCTCCATAGTCTAAAATAGATACAAATGTTGCAGTGACAAGCTTCTTTTTTGCTTTAAAAGAAAAACAAAATTTATTTCGAAAGAAAAAGCCCAATTTGAGTTTAAGTTTTTTCACAAGATTGTCTATGTGGGGCTTGAAATTCAGGGAGTCATCAAGCAATATACCAAGGTATTTGTAAGTGTTAAATAATATCTTAGGTAGAAAATATATGGTGAGACGAGTTTCAAGGGTAAAAAACAAATATTTTCTGACAGTTACTCCCTGTGCTGCCACCAGAGGGGGGACTTCAATATGGCAAGGCAAGTTTATTCGTGCAGCAAGAAGAGTCCAAGTGCTTAACCAATCAAGATAGACACACAAAATCATTGAAATCATAAAAAAAACCACAGTACATTAAAAGTTATGTACAAAGCTAAAAAGAAATGTTTTAAACCTGGATTTTAACATTTTCAGGAAGACTGTTCCAGATTCTAGCTACATAAATCTGAAATGCTGTCTCCCCATGTTTACTCCTGACTCTGGGACCAGCAGGAGGCCCGTCCCTGTGCTCCTCAGAGTCCGAGTTGGTTCATATGGCACTCACATGTCTCGAAATAAATATATATGAATGTGCAAGTGACCAAAATAAAACAATCTTCACACATTCATTCATGTGTGGGTGGACAGTCGAGTTGGTCTTTTCTTATGAAAGCCTGCGTTGCTATGGTTACCTCAGCGGGCGCATGGTCCTCAGCAGCCTAAGGACCTTAAAGATCCCCAGCATGCTCTTCTCTGCATTGTTGTGTGAGGGGTCAGCCAGGGTCACTATCATATCGATCATTGACATGGAGACCAGGATGCCGTCCAGCACGTTCCACCGGCATCGCAAGTAAGAGTCCGACCCCAGCACCAGACCCAGAGACACCACCTGCAGGCAGCACAGGGTAACAGCATGGTCCAGACGTTCAAACTATAGCTTGGTTTCATTTTTTACATTCCATAGTTTATGGAGCCCCTCTCAAAGTAAATCTGGTTTTAAAGTTTGATAATTTGAGACAAATGGTATTCACTGCTAAACTATTCCATCCTTTTTCTTTTTTTTTTAAAAGAACAAACAAAATATATCCTTATACTGATTATATATATTTATTATACGGCTCCTCACAGCAGCAGTAGAATGCTCCATTGATTTGAATGTAATTTCAAAACGTTCTACCGGTCATTATTTTCTATAACGGACCTCTAAAAACAATAATGACCACTGCCCATGGCAACGCACTCTCTGCTTGTATTTCAAACGCGTGGATAACTCCGCAAGTAGTTCTGGCCACTTTGGAGCTAGCCACGCTCAATAAACACACTTAAATGTTATTCGGAGAATACTGTATACATATACATTCTTCACACACGTGCACAGAGATTTTCAGAATTTTCTAGTCTTGTCTTCATCACAAAAATACAATTTCTCTGCGTCAAAAAGCAATCGTGAAAAACCCGGAAGTAGTTCCGGCCGCTCAATAAACGCAAATGCCAATCTGTTTCCGTTTTCATGACAAAAACACTGATGTAATGCGAGAAAAGGCGATCCCGAAAAACCCGGAAGTAGATAACGGGACATTTTAGGACACATTTGCAGAGGATCGAATTATGGATTTAGGTTAGGTTTATGTATGGGTCACTCACCGCCGATGTTTAGAATTCTTTGTTCAGTTTTCATGCAGTTCCAGAGAGTTCTAGTTTTGAAGTTGCTAGCCCAAGTGTTGCTAGCATAGCCACGGGAAAGCCTTTGGCTTTTATTTTCTGTCATTAAAGACCTTATGCAGGGTTTTTTTTAAAAATGTGGATGTTGTGGGTTACTTCAGAAAAAATACAGGCGAGCTCGGATTGCAGTGATTATTCGTGTTTTTATTTTCCCCAAAGTGCATAAAAATTTGTGCAGGCAGTGCAGAGCATATGTACAGTGAATTTAGCAGAAAAAAACAACAGGTCCACTCGGACACATAGGTCACCTTTAATGAGTCCAGGTAGTTACTTCCTCTGTAACCAGCGGCAGACTGACGGGTGCCAGACACGGCTCTCCTTTATAGTCCCCTTTGCCCCTCCCATTGAGCAAAATAAATTATTACAAATGGGACGTATAAACAGAGAATACATATATGGACCCATTCCCTATTGGTCCAACACATAAAACTATACTCTACAATGAAACATTAGGCCATTATAAGTACATTAAATCTTGGGGACAATTCCCCACGCTCCCAGGGCGCATTTAACCCACCAGGAAGTATGATCCTGGTTTGATCCTGGTTTGATCCTTGCGCACGGATGCAGAGGAGCGCGACAGACCGGTACGTGTATGAATGTATGCTTAAATGTATTTCTAGCCCGCACAAGTGTGCACCCTTGGGCGAACTAGTAACTGAGGGAAGGGAGGGACAAGAGTATGGATGATGCGTGTGGATGTTAAGCATTAATGGAACAGAGGGAAAAAGGGGTGCGAGCGTTTGGAATGGCGTGTGTGTGTGTGCGTGCGTGCAGGTGCGCGTATGGCGCGCGTGTGGCGCATGCGGCACTAAAGTCAGCCTTTACTTTAAAACTCAGTCCGCGCACGTAACTACCGACGGACCCGCTCCGTCACAGTGGATATCAAAATTGCATGACAGTTAATCAATTAATGTCAATCTCAAATAGATTACGGCAAAAAAAAAATCCTTTATTTTATAAAAATAATGATGTTACTTCAAATCCGGAAGTGTGACGTCATAGCGGGTGATGCCCATGTATATCCGCCACATTGAAATGGACTATGTACACAAACCTACCCCTATAACATGATTTATACACACACATTATATATATTATACATTCCTCTGGTGTGTGTTTATATAGCAATATAAACACACACCAGAGGAATGGTTATCATAGATCCATATGCGATCAATTCTCCCTATCCTCTCCTCTCTCCGCTGATGTCTGACGCAATACTGCACCCTACAGTTGTCAACCGCTCATCACACATATATTATAGTGCTGTTCTTTGCAAAAACTTGGTCAGGCCGGGCTATCACGGAGCACTTACACCCCGGTAACAAATATATATTGCTAGCTACAGACATACACCCACTCATAAGTCGCTACTTACCTTTCGCCGTATACACTTTGATACTGAAGCAAATTCGCAAAACAGTCCACGGCGAAATGTTGTGAGCACAACATCGGACCACACTTCCCAGTGCTGACAACGGACGGCTGCCAATTCTTCCTCTTGATGTTGACGAATGCCGTCCAAAGCCTCGCTCTTTTTTTATCCTTTGGCCACTCATAAAGCCGGTTGTGCGTTTGAGAGCAGTACATTGCAATACACCGCCTTGTCATGTTGAATATTCGTGAAAAAAAAAGACTACCAAATACCAAACTAATAGCTAACTAACTAATTAACAGCTGGTTGAAACGCACCCACTCTAACGTCACGAGGCTGTGGATATTTTTTCGTCTCTAAGGGGGTTGCTATGATCTTTTCTCAATTTGGGGGGATCAGACAAAAAAATAAAAAAATTAATTTGAAACCTTTAGTAGTTCTCTTCTAATGTAAAATGGTATTAAAACTGAATTTCTAAATCAATCAAACCCGGCATAAGGTCTTTAAATATACCTTTCGGCATTCCTAAAACTAAAAGTGGACTGTAGTTTATTTTGTGTGTTCTGTTGGTATAAAGCCGTACAATAAGCGGGATAACGTATATTACGCAGGTCATTATCGGACCCCGAAGCGCAGCGGAAGAGTCTGCTTCCGCCCTGAAGTTATCCCTTACATAATTTCGATACATATTTTAAGGGATACAGCAGATAGTGAGTGTGTGTGTGTGTGTGTGTGTAAAAAGCACATCATAAATGAAATCTGATTGATTGGATGATTGATACATATATATGTTCTTTATCATGCCAAAGGTGGATAAAGAACTTTTTTTTTTCTAAAGAGATTTGGTACTCAATTCCTTCTTCTTCATTATACTAAAGTTTGAGATTTTAGATTGCTTCTTTTTGATGCTTTTTATTTTAGTGTATTCAGAATAGGGACGTCACGCCATTTGCAGCAGCCATTTTGACGGTGTAGAAATGCAAAACCACCGGTGATACTACAGGTAGTAGCGAGATTTTCCCATCATGCCGGAGCTGTGCGACCAGATACGTGATCAGACAAAAGGAATATCGTTATACCGGGTGCACGGAGATTTTCAGAATTACTTGTTCATGTTTTTATGACAAAAATACAAGTACAATAAGCCTTCAGTGCCTGTCACCACTGTGTAGAGAAGCTAGCAGAGCTAGCCACTCTCAAACAAATATCAATCAATCAACACCATTAAATGTTAATCAGAGAATACAGTATACATATACATGCATAACACAAATGTACGGAGGTTTTCAGAATTATTTGTTAACGTTTTCATGACGAAAATACAGTTTTAATGTAACAAAAAGCGATCGTGATAAACCCGGAAGTAACCATTAACATGAAACGAACATTTTAGGACACATTTGAAGAGAATCTGATTATGGATTTAGGTTCGGTATGTAAATGAGTTCCTCACCACTGATGTCCGGAATTCTTTGTTCAGTTTTCATGTAGTTCCAGAGAGTTTTTGAACTACCTAGCTTAGCTCCATTGCTGCGGAGTCGGCGGACGGATACCGTCAAAATGGCTGACACGCGGCTATGGGTCATGTGACTGGGAGATCCCTATAGAGTTATTGTTCGTTCATCTCATGTTGTGCGCTCCTCATTCCTTCATTTCTGTCACTGGTGATGCAACACTGACATTTCCCCCACTGTAGGACGAACAAAAGATCTCGTAATCTAAATCTATGCTGCAAAAATTATGAAAGATAAATCAAAAATTGCTCAAATTTGGCAAAACGTATCTAAATTCGAGCACATTTTGACTGCCTTAAAACAAGATTTGCCGCTGGGAAGAGCAAAATGATCTTGTTCTTAAAATAAACAAGAAATGTCTCCCTTGGAATGAGAAAATAAAGCAACAGCTCTTGAAAAAAGATGAAATGGGCTTGTCCCATTGGAAAATATTTGTCATGCACTATAAATAATATAAAAAACACATGATTCAAGCCATTATTACCTCATTTTATAAATGTTTGCACTGTGTGCAACACTTTTCTGACTCTAAAACAGTTTTTCTACTTTTCAGACAGAAAAGTAGAAACACCCAAGCCCCCTCCCCCCATATCGTTCATCCCCCATTGTTGAGCCTCAGAATAGACATGTGTTACGGTGGCGCTGACACTTCCCTGAGCTCTGAGCGACGGTGGCAGGTCGGCATTATGAGGCGTTTCCTGCTGCCTCCGCTGGGGATTTGTGATAATCTGAAGAGTGAGTCATGGACAGATTAGCATATGGGCTTCTTTTAGGCCGGGATATCCTAAACGCACCATGCTAATAGTGAGACAGCAGAGAGAGACAATACCTGGGAACGCTGCGGCAGACCTATTACAGGATTAATGAATGCTCCTGCGTCAACACTGTATCTAATCTGCTCCTTATGCCGGCTTTAGTCTTCGCACATCCCCATGTTTTCACTGCTCATGCACCGCGCAGACAACAGCAGAGGGTGATGTCATGTTTGCAACCGCAGAGGTGAGCCGGAAAAATATGGGTTATTTGAAAAGGGAGTTATTTAAAAAAAAAAAAAAAAAACATTCTCTGTGAGTTTTTCATGTAAAGCAAGCAGTGACAATCAGGATTAGAATCAGAATTATTGCCATTATGAGTAACAGGAAGTCAAAAATTCTCGGAGAAAACAAGTTATGAAACGAAACATCGTTAAAGGCATGCATAAAAATAAATACAAAATCTTACATAACATTTCTTAAAATTACCATGTACTGTTCAAATTCTTAAAATTACAAAATA